TCAATCCCTAACAGCTCCTTCAACTTCAAATTTAGGAGTATTTCTATTTTGATTTAAGAGACCTATATATTCCCTCAAAGTCACATCTACTTCCTCCTCCAATATACATAAGAATCTCAGCAAAGTGTATCATTGGGGTCTGGGACATAAAATAAACTAAGATAAGGTAATAAACCCTCCAGAATATGGTGTGTAGAACAGAATTTTATTCTAACAGATAAACTTCTAAAAAGGCTTTAAGATGTACTTATTTTTATAAGTAAGAGTTCCTTATCCTTGGCTCAGTTCCTAGTCTCTGAAATAAGTCATTCTCATTACCACCCACAGGTCTTTGTACCCAAGACCCTTTTGCCTGGAAAACCTTTTCTTTCCATTCTGGATTCAAATTCTACATGAAAATTCAGTTGTAGTTGTCCACTCATGACCCTAATGTATGATGAAATGGTAGTCTGCCTCTTAAGGAAATATTTGCCTAACACAAAAGGCAATCGTAAGAACAAGCAATTATGGTGGAGGAACGGTAGAGGAATGTGGAAAGAGTTATGGAGAAAGAGTGGCACAGGACAGGTGAGGGGACGTTTTCTGAGCCAATAGAAAATCTTGTACAAAGAAATGAAAGATGAAAAATTAAATTTGAAAAACTAATTTGAAAAATAAATTGAGCTTTACTAAAACTTAAATGTTCAAAAACAACAGCCCTTAAAGTACCATGATAAGAATGGGCTTCCTGGGAATTTAGCATAGAGGGATTCCTTAGCATGCCCTCTATGGTAAGCAATTTTTCTTCAATTATTATATTCCTGAAAAGTTGAAGAGAAGTTTCCTCTCTGTAAAATGTTATTCGATTCTCTTCTTACCACTTTGAAAAAGTGTCTCCATAAAGGTTTTTCTCAACAAATGTACTTTTCTGTAAATGTGTATATGGTGGCAAAAGATGCTGTTGTATATTGTCAAGTAGCATATGCTTGTCACAGCTACCATATTCTATTTTGAAAAAGTATCAAAAACATCCCTTGCCTTTATGATTATAGATATCATTCTTTGTGGACATCAGGCTTAGCTTAATCTAGAAAATGTCACAGAAAATAAGTACAAATTTTATATATCTTTTTGGCTTTATATTCATCATCAGGTATTGTAGAGCACAAAAATCAATAGTTCTTTCCATATTGAAGGCTATATACCAGGGCTGGCCCGTGGCTCACTCGGGAGAGTGCGGTGCTGACAACACCAAGTCAAGGGTTACGTTCCCCTTACCGGTCATCTTTTTAAAAAAAAAAAAAAAAGAAGGCTATACACCAGTAGTGTTTAATGAGAATGACGGAGCATCAGTCAAAGGTGAAAGAGCATCACACACTATGGCTCTTTTTGATGAAAAAGAAAATTTGAAAAACTAATTTGAAAAGTAAACTTGGAGTTTTACTAAAACTTAGATATGCTCAAAAACAACAGCCACGTCTTAAAGTACCATGTGATTAGATATGTTTTCAATTACATTACTAATCAAAAGAAGCCAAATATAACTGGATATAATGTACTGGCATCCAAAATTTAGTCGATAGTCTTAAAAAATATATATCATCCACTGCCGTCAATGCCTTCAGCTTCAACAGAGTGATAAATTCAAATTATCATTTTTTCAAAAAGTTTGCTCAATAGGAAGTTTTTCTTTACTAATTGGATTTCTTTTTTTTTCCAGAAACTAAGTCTTAAAATACTTGATTCAATATCATGTAGAAGTTTCACTTACAGGAAGTATGAATAGATGGGTAGAAGGGAAAGGAAAGCCTTTGTTTCTCCACACAGAGTGACAGAAAGTTCATTCATGACCTGGCTGAAACTGGCAGCTATTCTGGGGCACATGAGTGAAGTAAATATTTTGAGTCACAGCCCTGCAGTCACCATTTCAGATGATGCTGGAACTGCACAGACTGTTTGGACTATGCTGCCACCCTGGAAATGGAAACAGGACACAGGCAATCACAGAAATTCCGGTGCTGGAAGAGTTGCTTCCTTGAGCAACAGTCAAGAATACAAAATTTCTGTCCATAATTGTAAAACATGTTGGTAGATAAGCTCTGATCACCCAAATAAATTAAAGGAAAAAAGAGTATCTCACTTGATGATAAAAATGAGAAGAAAATGCCTTGATATAAATTAACATAAGACTCTATACTATCACTTTCAAAAATACAGAGGAAGATGTTGCTAGAGAAACTTGAAGTTAATTAGCAAATAAATCACTAAAGACTTGAAAATGTAATGTCTATTTTGCCAGTTTTTGAATTTGTTATTTGCATATTATCAGAAGCTCATAGTTAAATGCTTAAGGACGGAAGCAGATGAGAAAAGCAGATTGTCATAGCTTTATCAACACCACACTCTAACCAAGTGAGCTAACCAGCTAGCCCCAATTGTCATAGCTTTAGACCTGCCCCTTATGAGTAGCCAACTCTTTTCATTTCTTCAGTGTTTCAAAAGGCTTTGTCAAAAATTCAGCATTCAACTTGGTGCAGGATCACCAGGAATTCTTACTTTTAAGACAAGGTTCCTTATCAGCCTAAAGCTAAAAATTTTGTTTCTTCGTTTCATGCCTAAAGAATATCTTTTGGAACAACAAGATTATGTCACCTTTTTTGAAAAGGCCAGAGTGAAGAACACCAAGGCATTAGAAAAGCAAGACAGTATACTTCTACTCAGAAGTTAAATGTGATTTTAGTCATTTAATTCCCATTCATTACCAAGACCTGTAAGAATAATGAAATGATTTAAGTCCTTCAAGAACTTATTTTTTGCTAAAAAAAGAAAAAAAATTTGTTAAAACAATGCCACCCCATAGTCATCCTTTAATAAAATAGACAACTTTCAGACGTCTTCAGCAGCTTTTTATCTCAAACATCACTTCTGCTCAGTCATACTTCTTATAACAAATTGCCTAGAAAAAAAAAAAAATCTCGCAACAGAGCTTACTTATTTATGTAAAAACTGATAGGTCACAGAAAGAAATCTCTCTGATCATTCATTAAATAAATAAATCATGAGTACCTCCCATGTCTAAATGCTAGAAATATAGCAATAGATGAGACAGACAAGGTCCTTGCTTTTCAAGGGAGGGAATAATAAAGAATTATAGAAGATATTTTCAGAGAGTCACAAACACTATAAATAAATTTGAGACAATATGATGAAGTATAATCAGACAGGTACTGTCATTATGCATTTATATGCAACCTAATACTACTGTAAAATAATGTATTTCATTGATTCAGAACTACAAATATTCAGATGTTAATATCTCTGAAATCTGAATGTGTACTATAGTCAATGTTGATTTATATTCATAATTACTAGAATTTTTAATACTATATAAACTGTACCTTTTAACATCAATTGTACCCTTACATTTACAGTCAAGTGAATTTTGACAGTTGCCAAGAAAATTCAATGGGAAAGAAACAGTCTTTGCAACAAATGGTGCTGGGACAACTGGATATCTATAAGCAATAAGATTAATTTGGAACCCTACTTCAAATCATACAAAAAAATTAAGTCAAAGTAGATCGACAAACATTTTTAAATGTAAGAGCTAAAACTATAAAACTTTTGGAAGAAAAGAGGAAAAAATCTTCATGAATTTGGGGTAGGCAATGATTTAGGAAACCAAAAGTACAAGTGATAAAAGGATTGATTTTTTTTGATACTCAAAATTAAAAATTACTGTGCTTCAAAAACACAAAAAGTGAAAAAACAACCAACAGAATGGAAAAACAATATTTGCATACTATATATTGGACAAGAGATTTGTATACAGAATAATCTGGGGGAAAAAAACAACTCTTACAACCCAATAATAAAAAACAAGTAACTCAATTAAAAATAGGCAAAGGAATTGAACAGATATTTCTCCAAAGGAGATATAATGGCCAATAAGCAAAAGAAAAGATTCTCAACATCATTAGTCACCAATCAATGCAAATCAAAACCACAATGAAATACAACTTCATACTCAGAAAATGAGTGTCTATAGGGAGGTGGAGAAACTAGAACCTTCATACATTACTAATAGGAATGTAAAATGGTACAGCTACTTTTGAAACTTCTTTGCTGATTTTTTTTTTCCTTTTTGTCTTTTTTTCGTGACCGGCAACGGATCGCAACCCTCAGTGTCGCGCCCGTACCGGACCAGGACCGGCAACGGGATCACAACCCTCGGCGTTGCGCCCGCACCTCG